CGTCGGGCCAGGTGTCGAGTCCAGTGGGCGCTGCACCCAAGTGGCTAAATGGGGGCTTAAAGATTCCTTTGGATTTGGATAGCTTACAGGAGGCATGAAGTTTTTACGTGCGCTTGTGTGTGTGTATTGTTTGCCATGAATTCTGTTATTTCTCTTGATAAGTTTTGCAAAGAGGTGAAGAGTAACTGTGGTGCACTCACCTTTTATTTGTTTAAAAGTGTATGCGCAAAGGAGAACAGGGCAGCCTGAGCCTCCGTAATGTGTGCTTTGCCTGCTTCTTCTCCAGGATGTCAGCACTTTCTCTCTTCTCCTGAGGGAGCTGAGAAGCAATTGCAAATAATTTGATCCCGAGAAGATTTATGCTTTTAAAGTGACATTCTTTTATTGTGCTAGTCATCTGTCTGATTTCAGACATACAAGCAATAGCAAATCATCTCTTAAAGTAAAGGTTTTGGGAGAACAATGAAATATTGCACAATCTTAAAACATGTTGACACAATATGTATTTTAGAAATATCGAACTTAACATTAGAATATAGTTTAATAAGATGTCATTCTAAATAAAACATATGCATAAAAATACAGTTTAAATTGTACTTCCTAACCTAAATGCCATTCTCAAACATGGTTAAATGTTTTCCTAGAAAATGTGAATGCATTAATCTCATAATCTCTAAGATTCTCTATAGCTCAACCATTCTAAGGCTTTTTTGTTTTCAATCATAGTTCATGGATGATTTTAGGACACTGATCTAACTTGCAGTTTCTTCTCTCTGCATGTGTGCAGTTTTTGTTTGTTTGTTTGTTTGTTTGTTTGTTTTTTGAAGCTAAGCCAGCATTGGTGTCTGTGGTCCTGGTGGGGTTCTCGGAACGTTTCACGTGCCCTCTGCGGCCTCTCTGTGCTCATGTCCCACCAACAGTCATGCCAAGCTTGCCTGTGGCCTCCACAGTGATGGGAGAGACTAGCGAGTCTGAGTGGCCCCTGCCTCCTGCATTCAGCTCTGTTCTTTCATTCACAGATGAGTTTGAGCAGTTGCCACAGTTTACTCAACACTTCCTGCTCATTCCTTTAGGAATATCATGGAAATATGCTTCCAATGTGATGTGTTTGTTTTTTCAATTCTATACTTTCTGGGAAGCAAGGAAGAATATTTTCTAAACTCAGTTTGCTCTACTTTGCTAATTCTCAGAATTCTCCTGGGATCCTTATTTTGGACCAGCCAGTAGAGAGGAGCTAAGATGTTATTTTTTATACAAATGGATCATTTTAATTGTCATTTGTAAATGCTTGCCTGCTACACCATGCTATAGTATGTGGGGTTTGTATTGCATGAAGACTACTGTTCTTAAAATTAATTAAGCCAGAGTCTTATTTTCATTTTAGAATTGAATACCTTAAGGGTTTCTGACACAAATATCCATGGTATTCATTTTAAAACAAATCAAAGCAACTACTTTTCAACTCTTCATGCTACAACTTTGGGAATAACACAACCACGACTTTGTCCTATAATATTTGTACTGTAAGAAACAAGGTCTTTTAATTGACCCAAATATGGGCTAGTGCCACACTTGTAATTGTTCAGTTGACATTTTTCTCTTATAATTGAAAAAATTCATGAAATAATGTGAGCAAGATAATAGAAGATGTAAAAGTTTGGATACAGAATTTGTGTGAGAAGTGATGACAACATATCCATCGCAGAAAGTGTTAATATTATAGTGAGGGGTCACACTGAAGCTTTTTTATGCCTTTGTAATCTTTCTTTCTTTTATTTCTTTGTAATCTTTGGCTTCATTGCCAAACTTTGTTTTCTTTTGTTTTGTTCCTTTATGAATAATATGCTTGTTTTATAAGCTTTCTAATTTGTTCTCACCCTAAGGGAATACTTAATTCTGGGCATTCAGTGAAGTTCATCCAACTAAAAATAAAGGCATCAAGTAAAAAAAAAAAGTCACAGATTTAACATGGGCTATAACTTATAAAAGCTAAATAACAAAGTTTACAGTTTCCGAAACATTTCTCTTTTATAAGACCTGGGCCTCTCACCCTTGCTTGGCTGCTGATCATCTGTGTACCTGAAATGGTCGTTTCAGCTCCTCTCTCAGCTTCTTCCTGTGTAAGACAAGGAGTTGGAACTATACTCATTGTCTCTTTGTCTCTGAAATTCTTTCTTAAAATGGATGGTGGAATCCATACACACCACACACAAAAAGAAGGAAGAGAACCTTCTAATCTCTGCTGCTGGTGTCACACCTGTGTAACACACCTGCCCTCTTTGAGTGTGAGCAGGAGTGTGACTCACTTCTGAGCAGTGGCTAGTGGGATATCACTCCCTTGATTAAATAGATTAGATAGATTGCAGAATCGACGGGCTGTCATTCCCGTGGTCACATCACACTCTGTAAGAGCCATCTTAGCAGACTGGAGGGAGAGTCTCACTGGCCCTGAAGAGGCAGACAGGCACGTTGTGAGAGGGGACTAGGAGGCCCTGGTGGCCTCTGGTCTCTGAGAGGCGCCTCCACCGACAACCTGCAGAAAACCTGCGCTCCTACTCCTGTAGCTGCGAGAAACTGAATTCTCCCGACATCCACCTCAACTGGGAAGGAGACCCCATGTTCTAGAAAGGAATGCAGCCCAGCTGACAGCAGGGCGGCAGCCTGTGAGACCCTGGGCGGGGTCCGGCTCAGCCATGCTGACCTTGTGACGCTGAGACAGGGCACGTGGGCACAGAGAGCCCTTGCCACTCTCCTCCTGTTTCATCCCCGTGTTGCCACCTCACGTTACTGTGGCACATTTGTCAAAACTGAGGCACCACCGCAGGACACTGCTATTAACTAGACTCCAGCTTTTATTCCGATGTCACCAGTTTTCCCTTCAGTCCCCTTTCTTGCCCCAGGCACAGTCCAGGATCCCATGTTTAGTCCTGACGTTCTCTTTCTCTCCTGTGGTCTGAGGCAGTTTCTCATTCTTTCCTTGTTTTTCATGACTTGACAGTTTTAAGGAATACCTGTCAGGTATTTTGTGCAGTGCTGCTTAATTTGGGTTGGTGTGATGTTTTTCTCTTCATTAGACTGGGGTTATGGATTTATGGAGTGAATAATGAGGAAACTTTTCAGAGTGATGGAAATGTTCTATATTTTTATTGTAGTGATGGTTACATGGGTGGATACATTTGTCAAAACTAATTAAACTATAGCATAAAAATGAGTATATTTATTATATGTAAATTATACCTCAATAAGTGTTTAGAAATAAACATTTCATGTACATGTATCTACTTATGTTTGCAAATATATCCATCAATCAACAAGGGTTTGATTAATGTTCAGCTGGTTCTTTGCCAGAGACTGCCAAGAAACTTAAGATTCTAAATGTGCTAATGTTCCTGTCGGTCTCCAGGTCTCCATGCATTAGATAGTGTGTGCAGCATTTCTAAACTTTTTGGAATATGAGATTCTTTTTCCAAAACCTCATAGAATCTAAACCACAGATTGGGAAGTGCTGTTTTATGTATGTCATATTTGAGTGTGTAGGAAAGATAACAAAAGCATTGAGAGTTGTTCAATTTTTTTACTAGGCCTTAGCAAAGATTGGGGAACTGTTTTTGTCCATTGAAGTGGAAATATATTTAAGGTTTAGCATGCCATTATGTCTGTGAATGTGAAAAAGTAAAACCATTTCAGAGCTGGAACATACTTTTCATTTAACCTGTGATCTTAGAACCTATTTGGAAACAGGCAGGGTGGAGGACTTCAGCGGGTGGAGGAGTGGATCCAGCCCCACCCGCAGCCTGGCCCTGCGTGGTGACAGCTGCTTGGGATGCCAGGACTATTTTTCACCTTTTGCCATTGCTGAGTGCTCGAGCCCTGGAACTGGGTGGGATTTGGGTAGGTCTGAGGTGCTAGGGTCAGCTTCTGAGGGCCTGAGGGGATGCCTTTCCCTTACAAGTGGGAGGAAGGTAGGGTAATGGTGACCTGCAGAGGGGCACTCCCACCCGTGGGATGCCCCCTTGGCCATACAGTCATTTTATGTTGTGGTTCAGTTGCTGGCCACAAAAAGTTGTCTACTTCCTAACCAAAGCTACCTGTGTCTCTGCGTGCTCAGGCAGCTCTCACTGTTTAGAGGTTGCATTCATGGGTGAAACATTAGTTGATTTTTATTCTGAGTTGTGTTTTTATGCTTTGACAAGACTTACTGGCAGCTTGTGGCTTATGACTTGTTTTACGTGGTTCACAGGTCATGTCTGCAATTGTATTGATAAAATAAGCACTCCTCACATGTGCAGCTCCATTATGCACTTAAAGGTTGAGATGGTGTTGAATGCTTTCAATTGTTTTCAGTGGGCCTCAGACCCAAAGTCTACAATAATAATGATTTGTGATGTTTGGAGAGGTTGTAAGTGTAGTTAAGAGTATTCAACCTATTGTCACTGGTTTGCTGCTTCCTGGCCAGTGCTGCGTCTTGAGACACAGCCAAGTGTGGTACAGGTGACCATGGTGTGTGCAGGCAGATGGCGAGCACCTTCAGTTCCAGGTGCTGACTTGAATGGGGCAGGTTTGGGGCACAGACCCAGCTGCAGATGCTGGGCAAGAGTCTAGCCTACCACCTCATGTAGTATCTTGGCTGGATGGTGCATCAGGGTTGGGGTAAAACACACAGGGGTCTGGACTGAAGGGAGGTGCAGGCTACTGGTCACAGTCTGGAGGGAACAAGCAATGAGGCTGAGAGGTACCTCTGAGGAAGGCTGGCTGTCACCCAGATAGGTCTCTTCAGGAATGCCTGTAAGCCTCCCACTGGTCCTAGGCCTTCCAGGCTCAGAATGTGATTGTTAGTGTTCTCAGAGGTATTTGAGCTAGAGGACTGACTCACACCAAATTCACCGGGGACTGATGATTAAAAACCCAAATACCAATTTATTACTTTACAATACAATCAGAACTTGACGCAGAGTAGATATTAACACTACTGCCCACCTCACTTTCTCTTCATAGACAGATCTACACAGGAGCCAAGTTATAGTCAGAAGCTGCTCAAGGAGCCTGGGCTCTTAGCAGGAGGGGTCTGATGTGGTGGCCCCGTGCGCACACCCCCTTAACAGGTTATCCTGCCCCAGGAACAGGTTCCTGCTCTTTGGGGACAGGGCGTCATCCCCTGTGTACAGGGCAGAAGACAATGTCAGAATTTGCTCCTCACTTGCCTTTTTTCTCTGCCTGTGTTACTGCTCATTCATTCTTCTTCTTGTTACAATATTTCCTGAGCTAGGCTAATATCTTTCTGATTCTGGTCTGATATTGCTGGCCAGAGAGCCATTCTGCCTCTTGACAATAAGTTGGCATAATTCTGTTCTGATCTGTCAAGCATTTGTTTTAGGATTTAGCTGTCAGAGATTATCTACTTTCCAAGTTCCTGGGGTAGGTTAGTTATGCCCCCTGCTTGTTAAGTCCAAGTACTACTGCTAGTGCGTAGGGAAGCAGAGTGATAAGGATGCCAGAAAAAGCATGTTTAAAAATATAAGCAGCAATAAAGCTAGTAACAGAGCTTAAAACAGCATTGTATTCACTTGTATATCACCCTGGGTAGGCTAACTGGCTGAGGCACAAGCGGATCCATGACTAGGTTGGGTACTGCTGATGGCAGACAGCAGAAACACTCCTTCCCTTGGCCTTTGTTCCTTCATCTTTCCCTCCCTTCCTTCCAACAATTAAGGCTTAATGGCTTCCATATATAGTCACTAAAATACAATCTTCCAGGTAGTAATTCTTATTAACAATTTGCATTGTGTATCTGAAACATTTCATGTTTATTTGATGTTGTTGGCAGGTGTTTGTCATGTCCATCTTCTATCTCAGAGACTTGTTGTTCGCCTAGACTAACTTCCAGATGATTGGAGTGGGTATGTTACCCTTATCCATCAACTCCACCTCGATTTGCTCCTCCAGAGATTTTTTTTGTCATTGTTTACCTTCTTTTGGTCTTCAGCTTTCCTCCCAATGGGATGATGCCAGATGGATGCTTCATTTCTTTACTGATTGCCTCACTGAAACATTTGCTTCAATTAGAGGAATTGACAAATCTAAAAGGTTTGTAAATATTTCAGAAAAATAAATGGCAGATAAATTTCCTAAATAGTTAATTATTGGAAACTCTACTTCTGGGAAGATGGGGTAGATGTAGTTTTCTCTATTCCTCCCTCCGAGTTCAACTAAAACCCTTGTTTTACATATAAAACAAATATAAGAAGACTTTGAAAAGTGGGGAGAAGAATGCAGGCTGGATAGGGATGTGAGGACCCAAGAAGCAGCATGGTGGTGGGTTCTGTGGATCTTCTTTTTGTCTCATATATTCTAGACTTGGAGCTGAAGAAGTCAGCAACCTGGAAACAGCAATGCGTACAAATGAAAAGAGCCCCAACAAAATCCATCTCTTTCTAGTCAAAGGCCCAGGAAAGAGACAGCCGAACAAGGCAGAAAAATTGTAGATAATAAATGTTCTATTGCTGCCAAGGACCACAGAAAAAAACTGTGGCCAACATAGGTGGAATGGGGAACCTGGGCTTCCACCCTTGTCAGGCTGGGGTGAGAAGCCCCAAACCCTACGCCGGGGTGGTGTCAGAGGAGGTGTAGTCAAGAGCTTGGGCTTTTATCCCTGCCAGCCAGCAAGGAGACCCACTGGGAACCCTGTGCTTCCTACATACCCAGCAGTAATAAGGGTGGTGTCAAAGAAGGTCTAGTGAAGACTCAGGACTTTCGCCACTGTCCTGAGGAGTAATGAGGCCCTGTAGTGTCAGCGGATGCCATGTGGGGAGTAGTAATGAGGCCCTCTTGCTACTCCCAGGCAGGATGGTGTCAGCAGAACCCTAGCAGGAAGCCTCCCTCCCCTCCCTCTCCTGTCCAACAATCCTGAGCGTTCTCTCCTCCCTATGAAGAGTCTGAATGGGAAACCTGGGCTTCTACCCTCAGCTGGTGGTGATGAAGCAGCACCCCACCCGCCCCTGTTGGATTGGTGTCAGAGGAAGCCAGTAAGGACTAAATAAGATCCAGAGTCTCATAACATACTACCCCAAATGTCCAGGTTTCAAAAGAAAATTACTTGTCATACCAACAATCAAGAAAATCTCAACTTGAATGAAAACAAATCTAATGAAAATAAAAAGATGCTACCTCTGAGAATAACAGAGATGTTAGAATTATCTGACAAAGATTTTAAAGGAGCTATAATAAAAATGTTTCAATAAAGAATTATAAACAAATAATGGAAAGTGTCAGCAAAAAAATAGATAGTAGAAAAAAAACCATATGGAGTTTTAGAACTGAAAAAAATATAACCAAAATTTAAAAACTAAGTTGATGGGTCAATAACAGAACGAATATGATGGAGGAGAGAACCAGTAAATTTGAGGAAAGAGCAATAGAAATTACCCCATATTAACAAAGAGAAAATAGACCGGATAAAAAAGTCTCAGGGACCTTTAGGACTATAACAAAAAATCTAATATTTGTGTCATAGCAATTTCAGAGAAAGAGGAGAAAGAAAGTAGGGCTGAAAAAGTAATCAAAAAAATAATGGCTGAAAACTTCCCAAATTGTACAAAATACACAAACTTACAGATTCAAGTAGGTTGGCAAATCCCAAACACAGCACATGCTAAGAAATCCACACCAAGGCACATCATAGTCACATATATCAAACCTAAAGACACATCTTGTAAGTCATGAGAGAGGAAAGACACCTTACATATAGGGGGACAAACAAGTCAAATGACAATGAATTTTTCATCAGAAACCATGAAGACTAGAGGAAGGGGCACCATACTTTTGAAATATTGAAAGAAAACAACCATTAACCTGGAAATCTATATCTAGTGAAAATATTCTTCAGAAATGGAAATGAAATCAAGGTAAAGGGGAAAGTCTCAGATGAAGGAAAACTAATTTCTCATGTACTTATCATGAATTTATCATGAACAGTTCTAATCTAAAAGAACAGCAAAGAAAGTTCTCTGAAAAGAAATTAAAAGACAAGAGAATGAAACTTTGAGTATCAGGAAGGAAGAAAGAACAATGGAAAGAGGAAAATGTGGGCAAATACAATATATATTTCTTCTCCTCTTGACTTTTCTAAATTATGTTTGATAAGCAGAAATTATTATATTATCTGATGTGGACCTAATTATATATAGAAGCAATATGTAAGACAAATATAAATATATGATGATAAATTTTCCATACTTCACTTGGCCTGGTAAAAGGTTGACATCAGTAGACTGTGGCAAGGTGTGATATATATATATATATATATATGTATATATATAATGTCATGCCTGGAGTAACAGTATAAAAGTGACACAAAAAGATACAAAAAATTATATATAAATAAAAATAAAGTTCTAAGTAAATGTTCAAGTAACCAACAAGAAGGAAGAAAAAAGAAAATAGAAATGAAAAATGAAAATAACAAATGGAAGAAAATATACAATGACAGACTCAAGCCTAACATGTCAATAATTACATTTAATGTAAATTATCTACATATATGATATAAAAAAACAGAAATTGGCAGAGTGGATTTTTAAAAGTGATCAACCACATACTGTCTATGAGAGACTCACTTCAAATATAATGATATAGATAGGTTGAAAGCAAAAGGACCAAAAAAGTTTGTATACCATGTAAACATTATTCAAAAGAACAGAAATGGCTATCTCATAAAGCAGAGTTTAGAGCAGAGAAAACTGTCAGAGGCTGAGAGGGATATTATATAATTATAAAAGAGTCAATCCATCAAGAAGAAATAGCAATGTGTATGCACAAAACAACAGAGCTGCAAAATGTGTGAAGAAAAAACTGATTGAGCTAGAAGGGAAAATAGGCAAATCCCTATTTACAACTGGAGATTTCTGCACCCTCCTCCCAACAACTGATAGAAAAAATAAATAGAAAACCAGCAAGAAGGTAGAAGAACTCAAAAGCTCCATCAGTCAACAAGATCTGATCAATATTTATAGAACACTACACCCCCAAACAGCAGAATATACATTTTTTACAAACATCCATGGAACATATACCAATATAGACTATATCCTGGGCTATAAAACAATCCAACAAATTTAAAATAATTGAAATAATACAAAGTGTATTTTTTTTAACACAGTGGAATAAAATGAGGAATCAATAAAGGAAAGATAGTAGAAAAATCTTCAAACACTTATACCTAAACAACACAATTCTAAATAATCCATAACTCCAATTTAAAAATATGTTGATTACATGAACATGAAAATATATCAAAATTTGTGAGGCATAGCTAAAGCAGAGCTGAGAGGAAATTTATAGCACTAAATGCTTACATTTGAAAAGAGTAAAAGTCTAAAATCAATAATCTAAGCTTTGCTTTGAAGAACTTGATAAAGAGCAAAATAAACCCAAAGCCAGCAGAAAAAAGAAAATATAAAGATGATATCAGATATCAATGAAATTGAAAACAGGGAAACAATAGAGAAAAGCAATGAAACAAAGAGCTGGTTATTTTAAAAGATCAGCACAACTGACAGGCCTCTAACAAGACTGCCAAAGGAAAAAGAGAGAAGACACAACTTGCCAATATCAGCAATGAAAAAAGAACTCTCATTATACACCCTGCAGACATCAAAAAGTTAGTATTCATCCCACCAACATCTCTACACGCACACACATTCTTATTTGATACCTTAAACGAACCAATTCCAAACTATCACAACTCACCAATATGGAGATAATTTTGTACAGCTCTATAAATACTAAGGAAATTATATTCATATTAAAACTCTAAAGAAAAAGGCAATCTTCATGTCCAGATGGGTTCACTGGATAATTCTATAAAATACTTAAAGAGGAATCAACACCAATTCTACAAATCTCTTCCAGGAAATTAGAGAGGAGAGGACACTGTCCTATTCATCTTAAAAAGTTAGTTTTACCCTGATACTGAAACTAGACAAACAGAATACAAAAAAAGAAACCTACAAACCAATATCCCTTATGAACATATATGTAAGCATCTTTAATGAACTATTAGCAAATATAAATCAGAGATATATGAAATGAATTATATGACATGGATGAGTGTGTTTTTCCCTCAGGGATGTAAAGCTGGCTCTGCATTAGAAAATCAATCAGTGTAAAACACCATACTAAGAGATTAAAGAAAAAATTCACATGATTATATCAACTGATGCATAAAAAGTATGCACTTTACAAAATTCAGTACCTATTCATGATTTTAAAAAAGCTTTTAGAAAAACAGAAACATAAAAACTCCCTTAATGTGATAAAAACCACCTACACAGCACCTACAGTTAACATTACACTTAATACTGAAAGGCTGAATGCTTTCCCCTAAGATCAGGAACAAGGCAAGAATGGCCACTCTCACCGTTCTTATTCAATATAGTACTATAAATTCTAGCCATTGCAATAAGGCTAGAAAAGGAAATGAAAGGCTTAAAAATTGGGAGGAAGAAATAAAACTATCCCTCTCTGCATATGATTGTTTATATAGAAAATCCCAAGAAATCTACAAAAACTCTAAGAACAAATAAGTGAGTTCAGCAAGGTTTCGGGATACAATGTAAACATAAAAAAGTCAATTTTATTTCTAAATACTAGCAATAAACATGTGGACACTTAAATTTAAAATACAGTACCATTTAAAACTGTTCAAAAAATAGAAATATTTGTGAGTGAATCTTGCAAATAAGCATAGGAGTTGTATGCTGAAAACTACAAATTACTGATAAAAGAAGTTTTAAAAAATACAAATAAATGGAGGTACATATCATGTTCATGGATTGGCAGACTTAACATATTGAAAATGTAAGTTCTCCTCAAATTAAGGTTTAATGCAATTCTTATACAGGTTTAACACAATGCCTGTTAAAATTACAGCAAGACTGTAAATAAGTATTGATGGGATTATCCTAAAATATAAGTGAAAATGCAAATGAACTTGAATAACTAACTTTGAAAAAGAGTGAGGAAGTGGGAAGAGTCAGTTTATCTGATTTCAAGACTAAACTTTCATTAATCAAGACTGTGTGGTGTTAGTAGAGGGACAGTCCTATAAATAAAAGGAACAGAATTGGCTGGGGGTGGTAGCTCACGATGCCTGTAATCCTAGCATTCTGGGAGGCTGAGGTGGGAGGATTTCTTGAACTCTGGAGTTTAAGTCCAGCATGAGAAAAAGTGATAACCCGTCTCTACTAAAAATAGAAAAAAATTAGCCAGATGTGGTGGCACGTGTTTGTAGTCCCAGCTACTCAGGAGGCTGAGGCAGGAGGATTGCTTGAGCCCAGAAGTTAGAGGTCGTTGGGAGCAAGGCTGATGCCACAGCACTCTAACCTGGTGAACAGAGTGAGATTCTGTCTCAAAAAAAAAAAAAAAAAAAAGAACAGAATTAACAGAATTGAGAACCGAGATAGATACACACAAATATGCCCAATTGAGTTTTGACAAAGATGACAAAGCAATTCAATGGAGAAAGAACAGGCTTTTCAGTAACTGGTGCTGGAGTATTTGGACATCCATAGACCAAGAAATGATCCTTGACCTAGTCCTCACACTTTATACAAACACTAACTCACAACTGATCACAGATTTAAATTTAAAATTGTAAAATTTCTAGAAAAAAATAGGAGGAAGTCTTTGGTAACTAAGGCTAGCTAGGCAAAGGGTTCTTAGACTTGCCATTAAAAGCACAATCCATAAAAGATAAAAGCGATAAATTAAACAATTTAAGCTTTTACTTTGCAAAAGACCATGTTAGAATGAAAATACAAATGATAGACTGAAAAATATTTGAAAACTACATTTTATTCAATGTACTAGTATCTAGAATACATACAATTTTCAAAACTCAACCATAAAGAAATAATTCAAGTATTAAATATGCAAAGACATGAATAGATATTTTACCAAAGAGGATATACAGATGGCAAATAAACACATGAAAAGATGTTCAACATCTTCAGTCATCAGGGAAACACAAATTAAAATCACAAACTCGGGTGAGGATGTGGAGAAACTGGACCATTTATTATACATTGTTAGTGGTAATGTAAAATGGTATAGCCACACTGGAAAATAGTTTGTCAAATGATAAAAAACAAACAAACAAAAAAAACCATCCTAAACATGCAACTAATATATGACCCAGCAATTGCATTCTTAGGCATTTATGCCAGATAAATGAAAACTATGTTCACACAAAAACTTGTACCTGAATGTCTATAGCAGCTTTATTCATAATAACACCAAAATGGAAACAACCCCGATGTTCTTCACTGGGTGAATGGTTAAACTGACTACACTAGGTCCATACCATGGAATTCTACTCAGCAATAAGAAAGAACAAACTGTTTAATTACAGAAGACCTTGGATGAATCTCTCGAAAATTATGCTGGGGGTAAAATCCCATACTGAGATTACATATTGAAATGATAAAATTACAGAAATAGACAGTAGATTGGGTTGCCAGAAGTAGGAGGAAGGTCCAGAGGAAAGTAAACATGGGTATTAACGGACACCGAAATGGAACTTTTTGGTGGTGAAATTGTTTTGTATCTTGACTGTACCACTGTCAGTATCTTGGTAGTGATATCGTACTATAGTTTTAGGAAGAAATGATCATTGGGGAATCTGGATAAAGCCTGCATGAGATCACTCTGTATTATTTCTTAGATCTACATGTGAATCTAGAATTATCTCAAACTAAAAATTTGAATTTAAAAACAGTTAATTATTATGAATGATAAAGTGACTTTGAAATGACTTTTGTTACACTCTGGGAATAATTCACTTTGGAGTCACTTGTCTCCTCTTCACCTTGTTCCTAGTCATGAATAAGAGTGATTTTTCCATTTGAAAATTTCTGTTTTTTTATTTTTAAGCTTAATTCATCCACATTTCAAGAATTAAATATTTATTATGAAATAGAAAAAATTTAATTAGTAAAAGAAAAATAACACTTAGTCAACAGTATTTAAATTCATACCTACGAGACTGAAAATTGATTCACTTAGAAGTTTAGATTTTTCTTTGCCAAATGATATGGATTTCAGACCTGAATATTTGTTACTTTTATATTCTTTTTTTAAAAGATAAATAAGTATCCTTATACTTTATGCATAAATGAAGAAAAAAACATATGGCACCATAAAAGAGCAGAGGAAACATGGAATAGCAACAAGTTATAAGAACCAGTGGGAGGTAACATTATACAAGAGAAATTTCACTTGCATTTGAACCCTTGTTTATTTACTAATGTAGAAAATAAATTACCCCATGAGAGGCTATTTGTTAGTCTTTGGTATTATAGTATCTGTTTTATTGTGTTGGCAGGAATGTTCATGTGAAAGGCCTCTTCCTGACTCAAGAAGTATCTTGCAAATATAAGTGAATTTTTGCATGGTGCAGGGGGCGCAAAAGTAATTGAAAAAGTCTTTCATACAAAATGGATTATGGATGGTATGATATTTATTTACATTTTAGGAGACAAGCAGGAAGATATCCTTGGACAAATTAGTAGGCTATGCTGAGATTATGTTGAGGTTTTCAGCTATGGAAATACCAGAGACACTGAGATGATGGATGGTCTTGTGTGGGAAGAATTTTTACTTACCTCTAACTTTGCACATTTCACATTCATAGAGTAAATTATGTTATTAAGTTTACATTATAAAATGTTACTGGTATGAGTGAACATTTTCCCAAATATTTATAATTTACTTGCCACCCCCATGCCCCTTATCCATGTACTTTTGGGTCTTCAGTATGCTTATTGATTTATATAAAAATTTTCCATCTTGATCCTTTGTTATATTTTTTGCAAATTTTTTCTTTTGATTATTTGTTTTAAATTTTCAACTAAGTGTTCAGGAATTTTTAATCTTTATATAGTTAAATTTTTATTTTTTCTTTGCTAATTTTTCATATCTTTAAAATTTTATATTTATGAAACAAATATATTTGCCTCTATTCTTTCTATTTCTCTAATTTTTTATACTTATTGCTTTAATCTGTCTGTCATGCATTTGAGTTAATGGTGTGAGGTTATGTTGCAACATTTCAACTTTCAAATATTTGTTTTGTCTCTAATTTTCACTCCACATATTCTCAGTTCTTTCATTAACTCAAATGCATGACAGACAGATTAAAGCAATAAGTATAAAAAATTAGATTAGAGAAATAGAAAGCCACCGTGCCAAGTCCATATTAATTTTATTCAGTGATTTCAATTGTTGCTACCATCAAACTTATCAATATATTTGAGTGAAAAGCAAATGAATTGACGTACAGCAGTCCCCTCCTATCTGCCAGAGGTACATTCCAAGACTCCCAGTGGATGCCTGAACCTGCAGATAGTACCAAACCCTATGTATACCGCATATTTTTTCTATACATATATATCTATGATAAAATTTAATAAACTGGCACAGTAAGAGACTAACAACAACTAATGATAAAATAGAACAATTATAACAATATACTGTGATAAAAGTTATGTGAATCTTTCTCAAAATAACTTATTATACTGTACTCACCTATTTTTGGGCAACAGTTGACCACGGGTAACTGAAACCTAGAGAAATTGCAGATAAGGGGTGACTACTGTATTTACAGTTGCAAGTGTAATCTTTCTTCACAAGGAAGTGCTCACTAAAAATAATCTGCAGAAAGTTAGCAACACATGGTTGGGGTGGTATGGGATGAGCAATTCACTCTGTTTAGGGAACTGAATTACACTTGCTGTGATCATGACAAAATGGAAAGAAAGCTGAGATCTAAAGATATTAGTGGCTAGCACAAGTTTACACAACACATGAGAGGCAGGACTTGAACTCAGAACCACTATTGCTCATTTCTGGCTCGATTCTCTTTCATTCACACTGCAAATAACCTTAAATCTACCCATTCATCATAGAACATGGGATTTGAACCTTCAACTGAGTAATACCAGTTCAGCTCACTTTGCTATCAGGTTTCTTTTGCATGAGAGAAAAGATGGGATTTTTAAAAAGTGGGCGTGTCAACCTTTTGGTATTTGACAAACAGAAATAGCCATAAGTCTGTTCCTCTGTAATTTATTCTCTTTTGGTGCATTTTTGAATCTTCCCTCAACTTTTGGCTTTCACGAGTTGAGCAATGAGAACTGATCGCATAATAGGACATCAAAGCAAGAAGTTTGAGATCACATTACAATGTTCCATTAGTTTTATATTATTACTTTATTAATATTAAATGATTTTAAAGTAATTAGCATTCTTTATTTTAAAAAATCCTATGGAAGGGGCATTCAAGTGATTTCATCATTGTTCAGAAGGAATACTTTTTTTTTTGGTGGCACAGTAAAATTTATTTCTCTTTATGATTTTCACATAGTAATTAAACACACAAAAGAGCAAACACTGTCAACATGGCCATAGGTAGCTTAGGCACGACTGGTCCAAGTTCACTCATGCAAGTGTTTGTTCAGCATAGAAATGAATTTCTTTTTAATGATTTTAATCTTTTTCAGTCCCCAAGGCTTGCACAGTTCAGTACAAATGTTCTTGCTATTGTGTTATTGGCAGGCATGCGATGTTTACCAATTCCCAGAAAATAAATGAAATCAACAAAAAAGTCCTGTGACAATAAGAGCACATTTTCATAGAAGTATAGTTGATGAGGTTATTACAGTCTGATTCAGTTGAGCTATCAGACTTACACACAAACACAAAACATTATTAACAAATTACATTTGTATTAAGTTTTTGTTTCTTTAAAAATATTAACCACACTTTTTTGTGCAAGAGAGTTCCATTGATTTCTTTGGTTTTAAACATAGTAATTCTGTTTGATATAAATATATATAGTTATTTTTGTACTAAACATCAAAAATCAAATGATTAAACAAAAATTCAAAAGGTAAAAATGGAATTATTGCTTCAATATAAAAAGACCTAGTCTATCTGGAGTACTACTGCCATTACTACTGCTCTGCTTCTATTGCAAAACTATCTTGGAAATCAAGGAACATAGCCCATATCTCCCTGCTTAAAGTACAATTTGGTTGGACATTATCATCTGTTAAATATGACCCTACCTTCGCCAAAGCTATCCCGATCTATCCTTTAAAAACAAAACAAAGTGAGATAGCGTAAGTAAGTTTACCTAAGCGGGTGCGATAAGTAGGCTACTAGGTAGGAATAAAGAATATTGTAACATAAAGGCCGTCGGTGCTGCACAATTAAACAACAACTTTGGATTTTCAAGGTCTCTAAACACAGCCTTCATTTTATAACACAGTTTTATTTCGGGTACACAGCTGACAGAAAAAGAATACGTTTCTGTTTTTCTTGTCATGTAAGAGTGAAAACAGAGTGGGTATAACTGTAAATTTGGCCTTTTGGGAATTTACCTGGGTGTGCACCATCACCAGTTTTGACCTTCGTCTATGGCAGAGCATAAATCTTAGGGTTAAAAAACCCCTAATACTCCTTCCATTCTCAGCGGTTCCTTGTTCCCCAGAACAGCCGAAACAACCAGAGCAGAAACTGAGCTCAAAAGCTGGGCCGCCTTCCTTTCTCTGCGTCCGCGGCGTGCCAACGGCGTCTCTCCGCGGGGTTCTTTGACGACGTTCCTCCTCTTCTCTTCCCGGCACGGGGCGGCGCTTTGAGCCGCGCCTGTAGCTCTTCTAAACGCAGACCGTTTAAGAAGTCAAGTCTCCATCTTGAGGAACTCCCAGAGAGACACGCTTGGACGCGGGAGGCTTCGCGCTCCGACCCGCGCGAGGCTTGTTCTGGAAGCCCTGCCGGCCGAGCCAGGCAGTCCGGGAAAGGCGGCTTTTGCGCCTGCGACGTCGCGGTTCTCGTCGTCGTTCCGCCTTCTTCCTCATCCTCACCGTCTATGACCAGGGTCCCCAAGCCAGACCCACGTCACGCGCTGTCGGGCAGCCGTCACCGCCCGCGTCCTGGGCCGAGCGCTTCTGCCCTGCGGCCTTCGCGCCTCGCCGCTCGCAGCCCGCGGCCTCCCTCCGCCGCCGGCCTCCCGCGCAGGCGCGGCTCGCGTTCTGGCGCGAGGACGCTGCTCGGCCGCGTGGCCGGCTCTCTGCTCAGATCCGTCGCTCCGCGCTTTGTAACGGCGTCGTGAAGCCCTCATCCGAGCGGGCGCCCTGCACGCGGACGGCGCGTGCGCGGGACTCGCAGAGGCGGCGCGGGGAGGGACGTGGGGCCGAGGGCGCAGGGACCAAGGACGCGGCCCCGGCCCGGAACCGCTGAGGGAAACGCGGGGACCCCACCAGCCTCCCTCTGAGCGGGGCTCCTGGAATACTTCTTGAGGTGCGGGAAGCAGTGCTGGAGACTAGCGGCTACCGGTTATGCAGAGCCGGTGTGGGCTGTGTGGCTGAAGATTTAGTGTGGGTGTGACTGGAGAGTTAGGAAGCTGTTGGAGGCACTGGATGAAGAAACGAAACCCTGGCTGCGTGACTAAGTGAAGTACACACGCGCATGGCCAGGAAAATTAGAATGATTGTTAATACTAGAAATCACAAAGTGAAACATCAAAATGATGTGATGCGCCTTCAGTAAGGCACGTTGCTTCTTTTTCCTCGTATTTCACCGTTCTTGCTGGAGCGCTGATGAATGGCAGCCTGGACCCTTCACAAAGGCGTGGGGTGCTTAGATAATAAAACAAAATTCTTTGGCACAGAAGAGATTGTTTATGCTTTTCTTTTATTGCTTACTAAAGGCCAACATTCTACTTTAGAGAGATCAATATTCCTGAATTGCAAACTTTTTAGAAGCCTAAAAGATATGAATCCTTATCAAGCTAAATATTAACCCTCTCTCCGTCATAGGAAAGCAAAGCTTTTTCCCCCCTCCTATTTTTTTTACTCCTCAAATATCTTAATGTTTTTCTTTTCTTTTCTTTTCTTTTTCAGAATATTATGGGGGTACAAATGTTTTGGTTACGTGGATTGCTTTTGTACTACTTGAGACAAAGTCACAAGTGTGCCCATCACTCAGATAGTGTACATTGTACCCATTAGGTATGATTTCACCCATCCCCCCTCCCTCCTCCCACCTGTTTGATTTCTGTTGAGTTTTACTTCCTATTGAGCACATGAGTGCTGTTTGGTTAGTTCCAATTTAATAGTGAGTACATGTGGTATTTGTTTTTCCATTCTTGCAATACTTTACCTAGGAGAATGGTCTCCAAGTTCCATCCAGATTGTTACAAAAGGTTAATACCATGGTATACATATATCACATTTTATTAATCTACTCATGAATTGATGGGCACTTGGAATGATTCAAAATCTCTGTGATTGTGAATTGTGCTGCAATAAACATTCATGTGCAAATGTCTTTTTTATAAAATAACTTTTTTTTCTTTATTTTTGCTTTGGGTAAATAGTAGTGGGATTGCTGGATCAAATGGTAGGTCTACTTTTAGATCTTTGAGAAATCTTCATACTATTTTCCATAGAGGTTTGTATAGCCACATGTAGAAGATTGAAACAGAATCCGTATCTCTCACCACTCACTAAAATTAATCCAAGATGGGTATCAAACTTAAATCTAAGACATGAAACCATAAGAATTCTAGAAGAAAATGTTGGAAAAACTCTTCTAGACATTGGCCTAGGCAAATAATTTATGAAGAAGACACCAATGATGATCACAGCAACAACAAAAATAAATAAATGGGATTTGATTAAATTAAAAAGCTTCTGCACAGCCAAGGAAATAATCAACAGAGAAAACAGACAACCTATAGAACGGGAGAAAAGATTCACATGCTATACATCTGATAAAGGTCTAATAACCTCAATCTACAAAGAATTCAAGAAAATCAGCAAGAAAAAATCAGACAATGCCATTGAAAGGTGAGCAAAAGACAGGGACAGAAGCTTTTCAAAAGAAAACAGACAAATGGCCAATAAACATACGAAAAAATGCTCAATGTCACTAATTATCAGGGAAATGCAAATAAAAACCACAATGAGATATCACTTAACCCCAGTGAGAATGGCTTTTATCAAAAAGTCCCCAAACACTAGATACTGGTGTGGATGCAGAGAGAGAGGAACACTCATACACTGTTGATGGGACTGCAAACTAGTACAACCTCTACAATTTAATTTTGCTTTGCTTTGGAAGACGAAAAGGTAACCTGCCAGAAGCCCATGACTTGTTAGCTTTAGTTTTAGTATTATAATCAACACTTTCTTGATCCCTTAAAAAATAATAAGCTGAGTCTGGGTCTCCTGAGAGTGTGTTGTAGGCTATGAATATTTGCTGAGTGTTTAAAAGCCCCTGTATGTGTCCTTTAGCTCACTGGGCCATGACAAAATTATCTCTTTATTATTCTTCCTTCTGAAGGCTTCAGCCTAAGCAGCATCTCCTTAGGGAGGCCCTCTCTGATTCCCTGGAGCAGTTGGTCTTCCTGTTATATACCCTTAGAGCTACTTATTTTTCTCCTGTCATAGCACTTGTCTCATTTTATTGTTCATATTTGCTTGATTTTCTGTCTTCTCTTCTACACTGTAAACTCCATGAACACAAACACTGTATGTGACTTGTTTTCAAGTCAGTGTTCGGTGCAGGGTGAGGCACTTAATAAACACATCTATTGCAGGGCTGAGTAGAAGCCATAGCCAGGCTCCCACTGTGTCTGATGCCCTTGGAGCCTGAGTGGTCATCACTGCTCTTACCTGAGACATGAGGAAGTGGGAGTTCAGTGAGTCTGCATGATTTCCCCTGGATTCTTACTGAGAGGTAATTCTGGTAGTTTCCACCAAAGTCTGTACATTGCCCAAGTTTATGCTCCTTCCACTATAAAATGCTTCTTTAAATATTTCCTAAACTCTAGATAATCCTGGTCCTAGGAGGCTATAGAAGCCTCTGGTTTCCCTTTCATATGGCCTTGTTGAAAACACAGTCCAGGGGAGTCTTCTAGTCCATTCTCAACTAAAGTTATGTTAACTGATAGTAGGCCGAAGGCAGCACTCTCATTCTCTGGCTAACTTGGAACTTTTGCAGTAGAGAAGAGAAGGGAGGGGGTAAGAGGACAACTGGAGAAAGCTTACTTGGAGCTGAGGCGGGGTGGCAGCTTTACAGCGTCAACTAAGGGTTGGGGCCTCACTCTGACATGCCCTGGGACGCACTGAAACCACCAATTGCCAACGTCACTACTATCCTGGAATATGCTGGAGTTCCAGAGTCCTAGGAGAAAAGCAAGCCAGTTGTAGGCTTCCTCATAGCCTAGGAGACGTACAGAATACCTGCTCAGACCAGCCTCCTACACGGTCCAAATGAAGCTCTAGCTCAGGAGTTGGCAAACTGTGGCCCAGGAGGGCCAAATCTGGCCAAGCGCCTGTTTGGGATGGTCCACAAGTTAAAAATGGCTTTTACTTTTTTAAATGGTTGGAAAATATCGAATAATATTTCATGGCACAGGAAAACTGTGAAATTCAAACTTTTGTGTCCATAAATAAAGGTTTATTGGTACATAGGCAAACCCATTTATTTACATATTTGTGGCTAATTTTGCACTAAACATTAGAGCTGATTCAGTGTAATAGAGACTCTCTACCCTGCAGGGCTTAAAATATTTACTACATTGAACTTTAGAGAAAAGATTTGCTGACCTCTACTCTAGTCGAACATTACAAAGAAGAAACCTTTAACCAGCTGGCCAGGTCATCTCTCCCAGCAATCTTTCAATCTAGGAATATTAACCGTTGAATGTTAATGCTCTGTGAAACATTTTCACTGGTTAAACCAATAGCAGGCACTACAAGTGCAAATTTCCACATCTCTCCACCCTTCAAAACCAGAGTTGGCTGAGCCAGAGTTTTCTAATCCTGTGGTCTGGGGTCACCTGTTCCCAGTTACTATGTTTGATGATGTTTCCATCACTGCCTGTGTGGACAGGCTTTGACATAGGCTACCTCTATCCTCCAGTGCAAAAATTACGTCTTTCCCAAATTGTGAGTGAAAGGAAATGTTTGAAGACCCACATGCCAGCCAGTGTGCCCTGAGGGGTGGGGAGAGGGATGCAAACTGAGATTGAAGGGTATGTGTGATTCCAATCATGCTGGATCCGTGCTAAGGGCTTGAATATTACACTAAAAGCAACGTAGCATCATTTGTCCACTTTAAGCAGGGAAGTGGCATAATATGGTTTCTATTTAAAGAGTGTAATTGGGCTGGTTATGGAGGACATGTTAGAGAAAATAGAATAAACAGTTTAGTTGCAGGCATTGCAATAATGCAAATAAGAGATGCTAGAAGCCAATGCTTGAATGATGGTAGTGGAGAGGGATAAGTGAAAACATTTAAGATGTATTTTGGAGAAGAATAGAAAGGCCTTAAGAAAGTAGATGATGTTATTTACTGAGATGTAGAAGTCTGGAGGAAAAAGAGTTGATAGAAAACGTCAGTAGCTCTATTTTAGTTTTTTTTTGTGTGTGTGCGTGTATGAGTGAGGTGTTTATAATATGAAATCTATCTATCTACAGTCAATATAAATAATACTGGTTGGAGGTGACAATATTGAGAATATACACACATATCTATGTTTTAACAACTTTTTTGAGGTATAATTCACATAGTATACATTTCACTCATTTAAATTATACAATACAATGGTTTTTGGTATATTCACAGAGTGGTACAACATCACCATGATCAATTTTAGCTTATTAAAATGGATATTTTTTCATATGTCCATCTTTTTTCACCTTGTTTCAAATAGATTATCTCTCTGTGGACTTTCACTCTCATGGGGTCATCTCAACATATAAGACTTGAGGGAAAACTTTATAATCCTTCTTCAACCATTGACTTGATGTAACCTAGGATTCAAATACCACCAGGAAGTAGAGGGCCTTGTTAGGGTGAGCCTTTTTGTTTAGGAGTGGACCAAGCAGAAAAGTGGAAATGCATTAGAAGAAGTGCAACATTGTCCATTTCCATTGAATGACAAATATTTCACAATTATAGCATCTGAAATTTACCCTAAAATCCACCAAAATGGTATATAAAGTAAATAGTTGGATCTGAAAATAAACCAAGAAGAAACTGGAAAATAAACATGGTTAGCTGTCTCTTTCCTTGCCTTAGCAGGAGCTGCTGGTAT